TTATTTAAACCAAAAGATGTTGTTTGTTTTTCTATTTCTACTGGAGCACCAAATATGCCTTATATTGATCAAAACGAATATCAGAAAGCTGGATTCTTAAAATGGGCACCAAGAACTCTTGACTTATTCCAATATTCAAGAAGAGATATGAGTACAGTAATTGGTCATGAATTATTGGGTGAGAGATATTTTAGATTGGATCCAAAAATGCCAAATAACTTACGTCTTGATAGAATTTCTGATTGTGATAAAATCATTGAATGTGGTAAAACTATTGACATTACTGATCTTAAAGAATGGATAAAAAAATATTGGATGTAATTCATTTTTAATTTTTTTTTTCATTTAATTACAGTAAAATTTAAAATCATTAAAACAATAAAATAAATTATTAAATAAATCGTTGACTTAACTACAAATAATTATAATAATAAGGTATGATGATTTTTTATTTATTTTTTTGAAAAGTATTCTCTAAATAATTGTACAATATCACCCATTGTAGCCCTTTTATTTGGTTCTTTTTCTAAACATTTTTCAATTATATCTTTTAATTCACTTGAAAGGAAATCATTTCCAAACTCTTTTTCTTGTTCATAAGCAGTCATTAATAATTCTTTTGATTTATAAATTTTCCAGTTAATTATTTGAATCATTGTTATTCCAAATGAAAATACATCTACTTTTGTATCATATTTTTCATGTTGAAGAAGTTCTGGTGACATATAAATAGAAGTTCCTGTTTCTTCAGAAAATTCTTCTTTATCTTTCCATTGAATACTAAATGTTCTTGCTTTTGAAAAACCAGCAAGTTTAACATTAACTTCCATTGATGGTTCTAAAGAAATCCCATAAATATTTTCTGGTCTTACATCTCTATGAATCCCTCCATTTTCGTGCATATAAAATAATGCTTTAACTATATCAAAACAAATTTTTGCTCTAATCTTTTCAGATGGCATTTCTCTTTCTGATATAATTTTATTTAATGGACCAAGTTCATAATAATCAAAAACTAAACATTCGTGATGAGGTAAATGACAAGCCCCATAAAAATAGCAAATTGTTGGGCATCTCATGGATTCAAGAACCTTTACTTCTCTTTCAAATAATTGATGATCTTCATTAGTACGATAGTCAATTATAACTGGTTTACCACGACAATACCCTCTCCAAATCATATCTTTATATTCATTAAGGCCAAGAAATTCTCTTTCATCAATATCACAACTATCAATATAATCACTTATTTTTGTTGAAAATTCTATTTGAATTTTTTGTTTTTCAATACCTTCTTTTTTACTTTCTGCTACAACATAAAGTGTTTCATTGATTTTAGAAGTACAAAGTGGTGTCATCTTTAATGTAAAGTCATGAGCTTCATTTGGTTTAAGTTTGTAAATTGCAGGTACTGGTTCAAGTTGATATTTGTTTGAATTTTTTCCTTTTTCAAAAGAAATTGTTATTTCTTTTTTACCAGTATTTGCAAGAATTAAGGTATCATTACATTGTTCATTAACATTTAACTCTACAGCACTTTCATTTTCATTAGAAAATTTAAAATTACATTTGTTAATAAGAAGATATTTCGAACCATCACAGACTTTTAGTTGGTTTTTAACTAATTTGAAGTATCGTTTCCCAATACTCTCTTTTTTTGCAAAGATAAAACTCATTTCTTCTTAATGGAATGAATACTTATAAGTTCTTGTCTTTTCATCCTAAAAAGTGATTATTTTATTGAATAATGATTACTAAAATCTTTCTTTTTTCTATTTTCTTCTATATATTTCTTTAAATTTTCATTTTTTCATTTTTACCTTTTTTTTTCTAATTATATCAATCATTTCTTATTCGTAAATAAAATATAATATTCTTATTGAATAAAAAAGTTTCTATATTCTATTTTTATATCATGGAGTACTACTTTTCAATTTTTTTTCACCTTTGAGATTAGTTAAATTAAAAAATACTAAAGAATATTATTGAATATAGTTATCTAAAATAAAACAACCCAATTCAAAGTAAAAAGATGTTAATTAATTTAGAAATAAAAAAAAAATTCTAAAAATAAATTACATAATTATAGCAAATATATTAACTATCTAAAAGAATAAAAGAAAAATTTAATTTATTAAAGTCACATCATCTATAACATTTCCTTTTTATTTAAAGCAGTTAATTATTTATGACTTTTTTTTCATAAAAAATCCTGTTGATTAAATAATATTGAATTACTTCTTTTTCATACATAAATAAATGACTAAAACAAAGAAAGTTAACGCCAACGTTTATTTTTTATATTAAAGACATTTAATGTTATTACATAAAACTCTACAGAAAGATTTTAAATAACTTTGTAAATAACTACTAGGATTGAATTTAATTTTTTTAAAAATATAATAAAAGTTAATTAAATATCTTTAGAGATTGATTTTTTATTATAAAACATAAAAAACAGAATTTTATTTTTTTGAAAATGTTTTTATTTTTATATTTGATATTTTTAATTTTAATATTAAAGAAAATACTTTCTAATTAAATTTGTAAATATATCAATTTATTAAACAATGAAAATTATGATATTAGACAGTTATTTGTTTAATTAATATAATTGAATGAAATTTAATTATTTTCAGTTTTTTAAATTTTAAATTAAATTTTTAAAATAAAATTAAAAAATTAAAAAAAATGTTAATTAGATTTAATATTATTATTTAAACTATTTATTAGTTTATTATACGTATCAATAATATGCTTTGTTTGACTACCAATCCAAAAAACTTTATTACACTTAGAACAAATCCAAAATTCATTAACGTCATTGTAAACGCACTCTAACACTTTATCTTTAATTTCATTTTTATCTTCTATTTTCTTATTTTTACCACCACAAACAGAACAACACATTTCATTAAAATTTAGTTCATAATCTAATGGAATGACTGAATGTAATGCAATTAATTGATTTATTGGAGTGTCTTGTTTAATTTTTACAGCATGTGGAATTTCTTTACCCTTATATTGTAAAACTTTATTTTGACGTTTGGCCTTATCAGTAATA